CCATGGAGCGTCTGAAGCGTCCAGAATCCAGAAGTATGGCAGAACCAATCCAGAAGTATGGCAGAACCATTGGCAAGTGTCGAAGCGTTTGAGGGGTTTGAGGGGTTTGAAGGGCAGTTTCGGGCCACTAGAAAAAAAGGATTTGGCAAGCCAGAGCCCTGAGCCCACAGTCTGCGCAACTCCGCCCACAATCCCGCACAGAGCCCAGAGCGCACAGTCTAGCAAGTGCGAGGTTTTGGAGCAGCCCTTGACAAAAGCGACGGTTCGACACCTTCGGTGGTCCCAGGCGCCGCCCCTGCCTTCGCCAGCGCAGGGGTCGGCGGATTAATTGCATTGACTTCTGAACATGTAATTACCAGGACCTTCCGACAATCATTGAAGTGGACGTGACAATGGCCTCCTGGAACACAATTTTCCACCAACAGGGGATTGTCCAAAGCTGTTTACCTTTGACTCGGGGCGCCAATGTGAACTGGAGCGCCAAGTATCATTCATGTATGTGCCCTCAAAGTTGTGTTTAATGCATACCTAGATGGTTCCATGACAACTCCTTTCTGCAAGTTGATTGATAATGTTTGCTGATTGTTGCACTGAGTAACGGCATCATTCTGTTTGTGATGGATGTCACTTTTACCTTAATCGTTCACAAATCACTGGTTCCGACCAAGGCCTTCACAAACCAGTGATTTATGAATGCTGGTCATCACAAAATCGAGGTATCATTCACTCGGTTATTTGTGATGGGTTTGATTTGTGATGGATCTGAGTCAGATCAATCACAAATCACTACTTCCCTTGAAAAAGCAACAATTACAATTTGGTGACCCTTTGGACGGAGGTAGTGTTTTGTGATGGATCTGGCTCAGATACATCGCAAATCAGCGGGTCAGTAAAACCTTGAATTTGTGATGGCCAATGCTCAAATCCATCATAAATTTGTACAGGCCCTGGGCGGAGCTAGCGGTTTGTGATGGATCTGAGTCAGATCCATCACAAACCAAACCCATCACAAAGAAACCGGTTGAATGAAACCTTGATTTTGCGATGACCAACAATCATAAATCACTGGTTAAAACCCTGGTCGGAACCAGTGATTTCTGATGGATGAGGGTGAAAGTCAAACCCATCACAAACAGAATGACATTACTCAGTGCAAACATCGGCCAACATTATCAAACAACTTGCAGAAAGGGTTTGTAATGGAACCATCTAGGTATGCTGAGGGCACATACATGAATGATACTATCCATAATACAGGCTATGCTTTTCAGTGATGCTTTTCAGCAGTGAAGCCAATACCTAGGAGGTGGACTTCATCTAGGTATGTGTTTCACAAACTTTGAGGGCACACATACACATAATATGCATGGTACTTTTGGCGCCCCAGTTCACTTTGGTGCCCCGAAGCAAAGGTAAAGGCCCATGTTTGTTTCAGGGAGTGTATATACTGTACCTTTACTGTACCTTTGACATAGAACTAGAGAGAGATCTGGAACAGCCTGTTAGTGCCTACGTTGTGACTGGACGACTCCAACGCTTCGCGCTTCACCGGGTCGATCGCGCGGTCTGCTCCCGATAGGACACCCCCTCCACTGGGAACGCGCCCATGCTGCCTGGTGATGGCAGCGATGGACGACAACCTCCAATGTGGCTGGGATGAAGCGAAGACAGCACGGGACCGAGCTCGCGATCGATGGGATCGCCCATCCGGGCCGTTCTGCCGTACATCCGGTACTTACATCCGTGCGGGGGGGAGTCCATCGACGGCTTCTTTCTGTTTGACCAGAGACTCCAGACTTGCCACGCTGCTTTGACCGGCCGAACGTCCGTCCGAACCGGGCCGCCCGTACCTGGCCGTCGGTAAAAAAACGGCCCGTCGAGTCGCTCCCAAGCTCGGGCGGTCCCATTCGGAGCCGCGGCAGAGGGGTTCCAATCGGACCGCAGGTTCCGCTCCAGCTGGGAACGTGCCACAGCTCCAGCGCTGGGGCGACGCTCCTCGCAGCTGGGTCCGCGGAAAGCCGCCCAAGACGGAGGTACTCCTATAGGGTGGAGTGGGCGGAGTCCGGAGGTGTTTTCGTTGGAGTGGCTTGGAAAAGAAGGCATTCGTTTCGGAAGGGTTTGAGGGTTTGAGGTGACGTTGGATTTGGGGATGGTAGATGATTTGGAAGATGGGAGAGAGAGAGAGAGATCCTTGCATTTCACCCGCAGGCTTCATCTCCCGAATCTTCACAAGCTGTCACCTAATTATAGGTTTGAAAGATCTTGGTCCAAAGTGCGTTCGGGCTGTACAAACAAGGCCAACTGACCATGAATGTATATTCACATCCACGCATGTTTCACCAGAAGGAGGCCAATCCGGATTTGCTCACTGGTAGTGGGGTTCAACTAGAAGTCCCCTTCTTGACTTGCCCCGGCTACTGGCGGGTTAGCCATTCGCATATCGCAGGTGCCAAGAAGAGGCCCAGAGAGGAGGTGCTGAGCCGGCGGAATTGGGCAAGGAGTGGTATAGTCAATAGATGGTCTAAATCAATGTCTAAATTGAATGAGGAATTGGAACTTAGACAATTGACAATCATTGTCCAATACTTCCTGTTGATGAGGATTTTTCCTCAAACATTATTTAACTGTTGGGGTTCTATCTTAGAAAAAAAAGCTGGCCACACTGACTGGCCGCGCCCCTGAACTCTGTGGCCTATTGGTCCCAACGAATCGTTTTGAAACTGTTTGGGGTCTATGCTGGTATAATTTTTGTCCTAGTACCCAGCAACTTGAGAATATGATGAAGACCACCCCTAAGAGCAAGAACTGCAGCCACCACAGCAGGGACTCCAAAAACGACTGCAGCATTTGACCTGGAACATTCTGGAGATGCAGCTGTTGATTGTTTTAGCTGTTTGGGTGTGTTCAGGCAGAAGGAACCACTTTTGCCTGATAGATCGGTATTTCTAAACCAATCTGCTTCCAAGCTCGCTCGTAGCTGGAGGGGTCATTCCGGGGAAGATGGGTCTTGTCTTCCGTCTTTCCCCCAACTGCTTGGGTCTCCTACCAAGCTCCGCACGGAAGTGTCCTCCTCCCCCCCCCCGGTTGGGTTCGCGCCATCTCAGCACCACGCGCCACAGGCGCTGGACCCCATGGAACTGTTGGAAGAGAAAGCCCTGGCAGAAGAATGCCCTCGTGCTCATCAATAACCAAAGAAAAGGGGTTTCGTGGGTGGCTTTTTTTTTTTTCGGCGCTCCGCTTGGTCGGTTTATATTACTTTGAGCACAGGGCTCCATGCCCTCTAGAGAAAACAAAAGAGCCAGGGCTCCGGCCTGCGCTCAACCGCACACTGGAAAAGGGTTTCGCGAGCGTTGTCGCGTCGCGTGGGCCTTTGGGGGCTGGTATGTGGAGGGTGAAGGGTCGCATGCCAGCTTTCCAGAAACGAACACCTTCCTTCTCATCCATTCGTGATTGGCGGTCATCAATCCAGATCATATCAGAACCAATTTCGAGAAAACGGCGCAAAAAGATGGTCCCTCCTCGCTCCTTCGTCGTCCACCGGTCGACACCTGAAGGTGCACCTCCCGGACTCCGCGAGGAGGAACAGTTGGACGCGGCGAAGACGGGCTGTGAGCGTTTGCAACTGGCCACCCGGCGTGTTTTTTTTTTCGGTCGCCCAGAAGGATCCAGGAGGGTTGTCCCCAAGAGAGGACAGCATTGAAATGCATTGAACACAGTTTGGTGAAGAGAAACATGCCAAGAACTGACAGAATCTGAATGCTTTCAAGTGATTCCAAATGATTCCACCCTCATTTTGAAGGACATGTTTAAGATGAGACTTGGGATGACTTGGGTGATTCTCTCTCCCAGATGAATCATGGCTCTCCTCAAATTTGACAGAACCCCTCCATCTTCCACCCATCATTCTTTCACCGAGCCGTTATTTTGCTGGGGGGATCAACGTCTCGGCAGTCGTGGACAAAAACACACGTATGGAGGAAGGACAATCTTATTTGTTTCGAAGTTGTGTTTTTTTCACGTTGTTCTAAGGCTTCGAAAGGTTTCTTAGGTGTTTCAAGGTATAAGACATACCTGCCTTATTTGTTCTTCATGATGTTTCAAGGTTTCTAAGGCAGGTATGTCTTTTGTTTTTCTATAGGCTTTGTTCCATTTTCCCAGCTTTCAACCGGTCGTTTCAACCCAAAACCGAGCTGACCGGTCGGTGGTCGAGACCGGCGCGAATGAGGTGATGCGGGCTGGTGCTGGGGTGGACAACATCGCAGTACCGGTTCCCTGGCCTTGGGGGAAAGAAAGAGGTGGGGGGGACAGAGGTGCAACCTACTGGTTACAACAAAACACAACTTTAGAACAGGTCGCTCAAGCCCAACGCAGCTTTTCTACGACTGCAGCAAGATAAAACATGGCCTCCAACGTACTAGCGATGGCCTCCAACCTGAAGAAAGAGAGATGGGGAAACGAGGTGCCGTTCTGGCGGGAGATTGGAGTTGAGGAAGGGAGCACGAAGTGGAGCAACGCCAGGGGAGCAGTGTGGTATGAGAAGATGCAGAACACCTAGAGATGTCTCCATGTTCTTTCCACCCTTCATGTCGTTGTTTTCCCTCAACCACCACTGAAGTCGACTGCATCCACTGGCACCGGTGGCACCGGTGGCTCCGGTGGCACCGGTGCCGGTGGAGCTCCACTGAGATCTTGACCCAGCGGGGCATCCGAGTGGCGAATGCCCAAGGCGCCAATGCCGTGGCCGTGGCCGAGCCGCTTGGTGTGGAGAGGAGTCGTCCCACACTGGGTCGGAGTCTCGAGTCGGATCGATCCTCAGATGGCGTATATTACTCAGTAGGAAGTAGTAATGACTGTAGTTTTCATATGTTTTAATATGTTTTTAAGATGTTTTAAAAGAGTTTATGGTCATGAATTTTGGAGGTTTGGAAGACGGAGCAATCATGGTCAGGGATCTTTTGGGGGTTTATGTTTTGAAAAGCTTGGTCTCCTGCTGCTGAAGATATATTGTAAGAGTATATTGTGTAACTTATTATGACTTGATGCTATTGGAAATTGGACATCGCGTGGTGAAGTGGTATTACCCAATCACCACAGGTTCCTTGTAATGCTTTCTCTTTGGATATCTTCCCCAGACTGTCTTGGACCATTCCCCAATAACCTGGTTCTTCAAAGTGACCGAACTTGATATCCCTGGCCGTAGAAGGTCACGAACGGGCCTGTAGAAGGTCACTGGCACTCCAAAGAGGTCACGAACTGAAGAAGCTGTGTCCAGTCCGACGACTTCTTCGTCAGAACCGGACCACTGGACCACGCCGACTTAGGCTGACCATGGCCCACTTGCTGAATCTGGATCGTCGACTCTCCGATCAGGTCGACGGCTCGTTGGGATGGTTTTTCAAACACAAGACCAACAACAATAAGACAATATGATCAAATTGATTTTTTTTTCCCCTTATTCTTGGAGACCTTGGTGCCTTCTCTCACGTTTTTATTGCGTCTGCCACCTGGACTCACCACAGGTGGAGTCCTTGCGCTGGGGCGAGTGGCGACGCCTCGACTTCGCGAAAGGCTGCAGGGGTCTCTATGGCTCCTTGGCGTCCAAAAGCGGCCGGCTCGGTAGGCTGCGGTCTGTGAAAGGTCGAGTCGAACAGATCGTTTTCAAGGTTGAGAGACCTGATCCTGCTTGTTTTCTGCCAAGAGAAAGAACAAGACACAGACGGCTGCGGTCCTGCGGTCCTGCCGCTCTTGTTGACTTGTCGACACACTCATCAAACGAGAAAAAGAAATGCCTGAAAGCCAAATGCCTTTGCTGTGGTCCATCTCTCGCCAACTCTCAAAGGTCAAACCCTGGCTGTGCTGGGCGCAGGGAACATTGGTCGAGAAGTCATCAGGACGTGATTGGATCTCTATTTGAGCGGCAAAATTCTACAGATCTAAGCTATAGGTACAGCTACAATCCTCCAGGCTTTGCTTGACGGCACAGGATCAGATGTGAAAACTCCTTTGCAAAAAGGCCAAGTGAGGCTAACAAAATCACGTAAAGCCTCCCAGCGCATGTGTGATCTTGCTACCAGCATGTGTTTGAAAGCTGGGAAGCTACTACTTCATCTCTTATGCACATTGAACTGTACAAGCATCAACTGTTCAGATTTCTTCAGGGCTGAGAACCAAGAGGCTTGACTTTTGCGCGAAGTCCAGGAGAGCCTTGGCCTTCGGTATGCGGGTACGTGCTTGGAGCCGTTCCCCTCCAAAGGAGAGGGATGACGGGAGTCACAGAATTGCGTTGGGTGAGTTGCTTTCAGTTTGATCTGGTTCTTCTATGCATGTTCTTCCTTTGATGTTTCATTGGTGGCACTTCATGCTCAGTGCCTTATTACATATACTTTTTTGTAAGTTTTACCATCTATGTCCAACCGCCCATTTACATCCATTTGCATTCCGCAAAGCAAAAGACAAGAAGAGGCGAGCTGAAAAAAAAGGCACCGCCTTATCCAGGCCCTAAGCAGGAATTTGTCAAAGGATGTCAAAGGGACTGTCAGCCTTTGTCATGTAGCTGGACCAATCCTCAAGACTCAAGCCCTGAGAATTGTTATATGTGTTACGTGTTTGTCAAGTGCTCCCGGCCGGCATCATCGTGAATTATCATGACATATTATCATATTATCATGATACTGAATCATCCGAATGTTTGTCAACCCCATGAATGCCACAGGTTCTGGTGGATATTAGAGCCAGAATGAGCCAGAGGGATTTTTGGGCGTATTGCTTTTGCACCATGATTTGACCACGGTTGGAACCGTTTGGTCGCGAACTCGGGCAGTGGCTGCCAGGGCGGCCACGCTGAAACCGTCGCTCGGTGACCCCCGTCGGTATGCCCGGAGGACCCTTTGAAAGACGTCGAGTACTGCACCACGCCCGAGGAGGCTGCGGATGGCGCTGATGTGGCCACCCTCAGGAGATCATATTCCTTGCATCGGAGAGTATGTCTGTATTTTTCCTTTTTGAGACGGACTCGCGGGAAAAGAATACTCAAAAGAATACTGGAACACTGTAGCCTTGAGTCGTGGGAGTCTTTGGACAAGCCCTTTCTCTTTTCTAAGTCATTTCTACGCTAGCCACAGCCACTTGTCTCAACGGCCTTTCCCTGAAATCGATTGATGTGAACATGTTTGCCGCCCGATTCAGAAGAGACCTGAGAGAGAGAACACTTTGGGGAAGTTCAACCATGCCATTGCTCCGTCTGAAAGACTTTGTTGATCTCCCAATGCTGACCTCAATCCACAATGGCAAACGATTGCTTTCCAGAGCAGTCACTTAGACTTGATATTCCGTTGTGAAATTGCCTTTAAGCCTTTAAGGGACTATGGAAGTGGAAGAGCTGGATAATCGAAGATCCCATGGAAAATAGGAACTCCATCATTATTTATTTACGATTCCCTGGATGGAGCTCCATCATTTTCCATCATCTTTTGATTTATCTTTGTGCGTCATCCCCTGGTGCCGCGGCCGTTCCGCCGGCGCAATTCTGAGGCGATGACCATCCACCTACCGCTCAGCAAAACGACGCGTGCCTCCGCTCAGAAGAAAAGCGGCGGAACAGGACGGGTCGAGCCCGAAGGTGGTCAGCCGAAAATACCAAACACGGCCAACACTCTTGGTCTAGCACCTTTGCACGATTTCGGCCTAGGGCCTAGGGCCTGGGTTTTGCACGATGCAAGACCCCAGGTTTTGGGGTCTAAAATGCCACCACCAAGAACCCGGCATGTAGTTGAGAGTATGTTGATTCCGGGTGTCCGGACAGGATTGGTCGTTCAATGGATTTGGATATGCCCAATGGGAACAGCCTTGTCAACCGATGGACCTAGTCTTCCAACTGTGCCAAATGTGTGTATTTTCATTCAAACAACCAGCCCAAAGTTTGACATTTGGCATAGTTGGTTGGAACATCCAGTTACTAACTGGTTTCATAGCGATCCACCGGACAAGCATCGCTTCAGTTCCCCAAACGGTCAAACGACCTCAGAAAGAAGCCATGTCATGCGATCTATGAGAAGAACGATGCGAGGAGGTCACGTGGATCGATGGCCACGTGGATCGATGGGTCGGTGCGAGGGGGACTTCCGAAAGCGAGAGAGGAAGTCATCGTGAAACGTACCTGAAGTCCTGGAGTTGTGTGTTTTGAGCATATTATAAAACATCCCATAACATCCCATAGCATCACCAACGGGGAGTGACTAACAATGACCAGGCTGGCTCGATCCTTGAGCTTGCTGCGACCTCCTGTTGTGGTTGCGACCTGGTCAGCTCCCCGCGGTGTTCAGTTCTTTCCGTCTCCAAGGGATCCTGGAATCCCAGGGAGGGAAGGTTCTTTTCTTTTTTCCGACGAACGATTGAGACCGATTGGACATCTATAGGACCTAGGATGCCAAAGGAGCGGTCTGTAAGGCAAACTTGCAAGATCCATCATCACTTCAGGAAAAACCGCATGGTGTGAATGGTCTCATGAATGACACATGCTGATGAATAGTCGTCGACGAATGGCCCTGGCGAATGCCATGCATTTACGACAACGACCGAGGGTGGTTGCGACCCTTTGACTCGTCGATGACATGTCGCTAATGCATGGCAAGGAAGGAGTGATTGTCGGGTCAGCGAGTCAATGAGTCGATTGGGGTTGGATGTTCCCAGAAGTCCCAGAAGTCCCAGTGATTGGCAGTGTTGATCATCCTCTTCCCCGGAAAGCAAGCGCGTGATGAGGCCATTTGGTTGGCCGCTCATTACTGCAAAAACTGAAGCCAGGTCAGGGTCGTGGCGTTGTTTCATCGAAGGGAACATCATGTGAACATCTTCATGTTTGAACGATACGTGACGATGTTTGAATGAAAACCTTCGATCTGCCCACAATTTGGGTTTTCCATGCAGGTGTTTTCTTCACTGCCGGGCCCTCCGAGCCTGGATGTTTGCCTGGATGCTGATTCTTCCAAAAGCAACAATCAGAGATGGTACTCCTAAGGGACCAGGGACAAGTCATTTAGTTCTTTACATGAATGCTGATCTAAGAAAGCTCGCTGTCTGATCTCCCTCAGTGGATCACACCATCCCTCGTTGCGAGCACACCGAATTGAGTAGGACTAGTTCGCATCCCACGGATGTGGTCGCCCACTCTCCGGGCGCGGAAGCAAGAGCGAATCTAGTCGAGTATGTGTCATTACTTTTTTCGGGAACCTTGGTGTTGAAGAAGTACGTAGCTGTCCTGGAGTGGATCTGGAGTAGACCTGGTTCGGACCTCTGGACTGCAAACTCTTCACGGCAAACCCACTGATGCCCTGAGTGATGCCCTGTTGGGCGAAGAGTCTTTGCTGACCCAGTGTTCGCTGAGCCCAAGTGTCAATCTTGAGTTTGGGTCGACTATCGTCAACTAAAGAGTTTTGGTATGTTTTGGTTTAAATCATAACATAACATATATAATATATATATATAATATATAACTTGTTTTTGTTCAATCCTGTTTTGGGGGGATCATTCGGATCGGGGGGAAGGGAGCACCTTCTGAGCACCCCTTTTGCGTCGACCCATGCACTTCGGCACCTGAATGTCCCACAACCTGTGCACAGGAGCATTGCTGGTGAACATGTCCGGACGCCTGAAGACGACAGACGACACCCACTGGCAACCCAGATCATATCAGATCATCCTTGACGAGTTGGATATAGTTGGCTGCTATTTGTGAGTTGAAAGGCTACTTCCCCGTTTTTCTGGTTAGAGTCTGTTAGAGAAACGCTAATCCAGGTTCAGCAGGGATCCCGTTGAGGTGTGTTTGTAACAGTCAGCTCAAGTTTCCCTCGTAGGACCGTCGACACATGTCGACACGAAGCGAGCTCGGACTGGTGAAGCATGAAGACTGGTGAGACCCAATGAAGATCAGGAGGTGGTTTCCCTGCCTGAAGCAGGGAGAAAGATCCGATTTTTCAATTTGGTCGGCAGCCAAGATTCGGCTTGCATGCCACGCATGTCACAGAAGCAAGCTTAGCATATTTTCAGGGCGGCGGTCTTACTCAAGGACACTTTTTTTGTGTACCAACAAGTTTTGATGCGTGTGGACGCAGTGTGACAGGCATACTGTATCTGAAATGGCTACAGAACCCTCACCCATCCGAGTCTTGGATGGGGGATGGCTTTTCTGAAGCTTTAGCACTGGCGGGCAAGTCTAGTTGAGCCAGAACTTCCGATTGCACCGGTCCTGCGCAATCACGAATGCCTATGGGGGGGAACTGGTATGGCAAACAGCTTCAATGGTGAGAACAGGCGATCGCACAATGAAGCTGTTTAGTAACAAAGGGCATCGCTACGAAGGTATGCAGCGTGATGTAACGCTACGAAGGTAGGGGCGCTCCTGGTCTTACTAGGAACAAGATGGAATAAGAGGACGCTACTGAGCTGTTTTGTTTGATCGGCACATGGGTGCAGTGACAGTCGCAGTGTCCCGGTGGAAACACACCGCACGACAAGATGGTGTGTTTGTTGGGACTCCCACACCTTCGCGTCGTCACAGATGCGGATTAGGGAGCGCAGAAGGCAAGTACGCTTCAGTTCCCGCAAAATATCACAACCATCTTCACACTGGTGCTGTCAATCAAGCTTTGCTTGCAATTTTTTTGGAAACGTGGTTTGGCACATTGAGAGGCCTTAAAACTTTGCAATTTCCAGCTTGGACCAGGCGTTGAACGCTGCGGTTCTGTCACATCGCTGGGACAAGACGCTGAAAATGGGAAATCTCATAGCTTCGTCTTGTCCCGGATGTTTGCAGATTCGATCATACTGGTTTGTGTACAAGGTTTGGATGAGAGCTTGTGCGAAAATTCCGGGAGTTTCCCTCCAAGACCAATGGACAGATAGAGATACCCTCCAGAGTAGCAATGGGCCAACACTATGCCGCTATGGCAGTTTGGCTTTGCCCCTAGGCCCCCACGCTCATCACCAGACGCTCCGGGCCGCCTGGGAGCGCCACGAGGTCTCGTGGCGGCGTGGTGAATGAAGCGGAGCTCCTGGAGGCCATCGAGGCATCGCGGCGTGCAGCGAGCGATGGAACGCGTGCAGCGATGCGGCGACGCGGGGCGTTTGGGTCGTGGTGGGGTGGGGAGTGACGAGTTCGTGGAAGAAAATGGCTGGGATGGAGCCACCAAATGTCTCGATTCTAGATCCAGGATCTAGAATGGATTAGATTAGATAGGTCATGATAGGTCCCAAATTGGTCCAAATGGATGGATAATATGGATGCCATCTCCAACAAGATGAAGCACGACGGAGGAAGCTGGAGCGTTTGACGGTTTGGATCGTCGCGCGACCGGTGCGACGGTGCATGGTGGCCGTTGGTGCGACCTCATCGGTGGTCCAGAGATGTCCAGAGTCTATGATCTAAGTTAAAAGAAGATTACGCATGGTTTCTTAAAAACGTTAGGAATCAATGTAAAATATCTGGGAGTTGATCGAAAACCCCGTGTAAGGAGTTTTATATAAAACAGCCTTTCAGATGTTGTTAGAACCATCCGCGAAAGATTCGCGATGAGGTTCGCGAAAGTATCTTTCTTTTCCGCGAAAGATTTATCGAAGGTCATCGCTTTCATTGTTTTCCTTTCTACCGGACTGACAAAGAATAGAAACGCAAGGCAATCCTCCGGCAGAGCCAGTGGGCGAAGTGTCCCCATGTCACAGACTAACGAACTGAAGCCTCAACCTTTCCGTGCCCAGCCCTGGCAGTGCGTAAAGGATTCTCCGATTCCTGTCCCCACTGTCACATACTAGCAAGCTGGGTAGGCGCAGCCCTGACAGTGAGGCAACGACCTGCCGCTGCTCTGACGGGCTGTGCAGATGTTTGCAAATGTTACGGCGTCCCGGGGAAAGCACCAGTGAAATTTCGCGAAAGATCCGCGAAAGGTTCGCGAATGTGCTGCTGAAGTCTAGGTTCCCAGCTTGAGGCCCCCAACGTTCCCCAAGCTGCATCACCCTGTGTTGGTAGCTGACACGAGGATTGGGTTGAGTTGTGCCTGACTCTATTTGGCACAATTGTCGCACAGATGCTGCAAGTGACCCTGAGTAGCTGTGGAAACGTTCAACCATCTACTGGGGTCATGCTGCAAGATGTCTCTCCCTATTATGACATGTTCCGGCTCATGTTAGCTAGACATGGTTGTAGGACCATGCTTCGCGATGAGGCCGCGAAAGATCCGCGAAAGATATCTCTTTTTCCGCGATGAATGGCCATTCCAGGATGAAAGAATATTGATCAACAGAATCTGTATATTATGTTTAAAGGTGTTCTTCTCCATCCACGCTGTTCTTCTCGGTTCGCTCAGAGGATCTAGTCTATCCTGCGATTCTCCAGGTACATGGCCTTCGAGCAGGTCGGATCGAGGGGAGCTACAGGGTATGTTTTGGCAATTGTGTTGGGACGACAGAGATGTGGCCTGACTACGGCAACAGACCGACAAATGCCTGAATAATCAGGAATTAGATGAAGTCAAGTGGCTACAGACAAGTGTCTAGGACGTGCGCAGCAAAAAAAGTGTAAAAACATTGTGTTGGAAGAGCAGATGGTCGCGTGTGGATGTATTAAACATAGGGCGACATCCCAGGCAACGACCCTCTGACCAGTCTACCCATTGGGGAAGTGTCTCCCTACTGGAATACACACCCATATCAGTCGAAAGAATGTGAACAAATCGAATCAATGCAGTGCTGTATCACACTGCATGATTTGGACCTGGAACCCTTAAAAACCAAGCGGACGCACCAGGATGTTAGATCAACATCTTTGCTACGGGGTCTCACTTTTGGGATGCCTTCCAACGCAAACCAGGCACATATATACGTACAGTACATATATATATATATATATATGCAGGATCGAAGGTCAACCACACTAATTGTGCAAGGCAACTCAATCAATTTCATTCAATTTCCCAATTGAAAAGAGCCATCACGAAAGCTCCCACTAAAGATGCACACCGTTAATTTATGCAGGCTTTAACATGTAAATATGTAGGAGGTGTTCAAAGCTCACATGATTTCTATAAACTAGCGAAGTTTCGCTGAAGCTGTGTTTTCTGGGCATGGAAAACAGGCAACTCTGACATCAAAGAGATCTGGAATCTATCTCCTTTGGCCCAGTTGCATTTCCGGTTGGACCAGTCAATGGCCGCACCGTTGAACCAGTCACCAGGGTCGACCGGACCAAACTGGACACGCCTCCAGAGATGGCGGGCACCTTGCAAAACCGACTGTAAGGAGAAAAGGATAGAAAAGGACTGGCTACTGGAGCGTCATGAGGCAAACACATGAAGGAGCAAAGGATCAATGATCAATCTATTACTTTCATACTTTAATTGAATCAGTTGATATATATATATATAGAGTCTATGCAGGCACCTTGACCAGACTGATGTCAGGTTTGGACGTCTATGCGCACGAGCCGGGTGCTAACGATCGGACCTTCCAGGACGAGGCCGTCGAATCGGACGACCTGACGATGTGGGAGGGTTTATTGATCAAGTCTCATATATCAACATTTAGGTGTTGGTGTTGGACCCAAAGATCTTCTGCTTCCAGCACATCGTCGAAACCACCCGGTTTGGTTGGGAACTGTTCCGAAATCCCAGACACTCCATGGGACTGCCATGCTTGCCTTTTATGATCCTTTATGTGATTTGGGGGGGGTCAATCAACCGGGCGGCACAGTGGGCGGCATATCTTCCAGGCCGGTCGCGGGTGGTATTTCAACCATGCGCTGAAACCTCGGTCGCGCCGGTCGCGGTACCGGTCAGGCGATCATGGCATCCAGTCGGGATCCTGGATGTGCGTCGTACGTGTCGGGTGAAAAGCCTGTCGAGTGGATCGAGAGACTGCCTCTTTCCTTTAAAGCCTACTAGAGCTTTGTGGGTGACTCTATGTGAGATGTCCCTCAACAAGACATCCCCCAACAAAATAGAATTGTTACATATTGTTACTGTATCCGCTATAGGCTCGAATTTATAGGCGCAACCTCCTAGACACATCTTTAAGATTGATGTTAAGATCTTTTATTGGATGTTCCTGAGAAATGGTGCCTGACAAAAGGTTCCTGGCCAGGTCGCAAGACTGTTCCTTCACCCACCAAGACGCGTTCACCCAGCGTACGAGGTGGAGTCTATGGCACTCATCATACGGGCGCACGCACTGAGCAGGCAAACCTGCTGGTCGTTTTTACGACGGATGGATCTGGGATGGTCATTGGCCCGTTGTTGGTGCTGTTGTGTTTACGGTTTCCTGATGTTTCCTGGATAGAGTCTAAGGCTAATCCTCAGCAGAGATCATGCCTTTTTGACAAATACCGAATACCCCCGGGTCATTATCCTCATGGTGCACGGTCCAACGGTCCCACGAGGTCTTCCTGACTTCCAATCCACAGAGATCTGAATCTTTGCCCTGCACGCTGTGCCTTTGCAGAGGGCAACTGATCCCTCACCGCTGAACGGTTGGTTGGAGCATTTCACTGGGGAAAGGGAAGGCTGGTTGGAGCCTTCCACCGTCGGTTTTCGAGATCGGCGATTGATAGAGTGACCTATTTACGTCTCACAAGGTTTTAAAAAGCCTTTTGACCTGCACATGGTGTGAATGGTGGGAGTCCTATAGCAGCTACTGTAGCAGTGTGAGGTGCAGGAATAAAGAATAATACAGAAAGTTCCACTTCATTAAAGGGGCAACTCTTTGCTGTGCATGGCCTCCAAACTCACCAACGGAACAATGCTGTTGCTGTGTCTTCTGCCGGACCGGGCGTGGAGGGATCTGAACACATCTCAGGTGTGTCACCGTTTGTCTTGACCAAACCGCTGAGTTCTCATACTTTCCATGACCTTCCTATGTCCCAGGCTTTTGCAGAGTAGCACCATGAAAACATGCATTTGCCGATCATAACGATCATGCACAAGTGAAAGGGCAAGCGGGTTTTAGAGAATATCTTCCTTCTTGCTTGCCAGGCCAGGGTTTTGGCCAGTGCCCTTGTTGCAAGTCCCAGTTTCACACCTTTCGTAGGCATCCAATATCATCCAATACGACAACAGTTTGAGTGATTTCCGTGATACAATTGTTGTTATTATCCTTCAACACGGGAGACGATTTCCTAAACTTGACAGGAACTTGACAGGCTTGCCAGCACAGGCTTTTCACCACCCCACCCCTGGCAATTGACCCGTGTCCTCGTTCTCACACCTGTTGTCCTTCAGGCTGCACAGGCCGTGGAAGATGCCATCCTTGAAGTGATCTCCGCGTACTTGGAGGGGAGGCGAGGCCAGAGGTACCGCACGGTTCGGTGGATGAATTCTGAATCGTCCAGGTTCTTCCAGGATCCCAGCACTTGTTCGGGACAATGGTTGTGACCCTGGAAGAGAACTAGTTGTGACAATGGTTGTTACCTGGTACCTGACTAATTTCTGGTGCAATGGGATCTTTTCACTGGCTACGGTTGACATCTTGTGCGTTGCAACAATGCGCAACATCTCCGAACACCGCTAGCGGGTGTTCCTTTGCTTTCCTTGCTTCACCAGCCACTAAATTGAAGCGATTGAAGAATCCAAGCAAGAATATGGGGTGTTCCACCCCCTACTTCGCCCTCCACGTGATTCTTGTGTGGCCCTGGGTGGGAAGACGACTCGCTGGTGTGAACAAGTCCACACCGGACGCGGCCGTTGGTGGATCAGAGTGAACATAGGGGGGGACGATCAGAGCTCACCGGACGCGGTATGGTCTCGTCCACACCTATGGCATTGTTTTGGGGGACCAGAGTGAGCAGAAGACGTGAAGGTTTTGATGGATGAGACGTACAAGCGTACTGCGGTTGGGGCAGGGGACCTCTGTGTAGAAAGTGCTAGATTGTACTCATTTGTATTGTATTGTATTGTATTTTGGTCAGTTTTGATTGGTGGGACATGATAAATTTGAACAACGTGGAAACCACATGTGTGAGTTTTCTGAAGAAACTTGGGTCAAGTCACTTGTAAGTATGAGGAAGCCAGAGAATGGAACACAGAGCGTGTGTCTAGACAACACATATTGTTGAACTGCAATGTCAATGAAACTGCCGACTAGAATCGACGAGGACCACGTGCAATGTCATACAATGATGCCTCAGCATGCTAGAACTCAAAGTTGACCGCCCGATCTAGAAATCTCAAGAACGCCAGAGCTGATGAGATGAAGTCGACGGGTAATTGTAACGGGCTCCAAGTGTACCAAGGCTTAGATGTTGTGGTTCTGTGCCAGACATTCTGCTTACATAGTGCATTTTCCGAGAATACTCAATACTTCCTCAAGCACCAAAGATTTCACTGTGGGTGGCAGTACTCCAACGTCAAACGAGAACTACTCAATTCTTTGATCCCCAACGATTCCGGCTCGCTCTATTTGTTTGTTTGTTTGTTTGTGTGAGTGTTGGCAGGCCGATCCCTGGTCAGCTGGCACCAATCTAGCAGCATCTAGCCATTGGCATGACGGCCATGCGGCGGCAAGTTGGGCGGTGGAATCTCTTCTCCCCAACTTGAATGCCTTTAGAACCTCTAATTTTTGATAATTTGATGATAATTTGTTATCATTTGTCAACGTCGGGTTGTTCACCTGTGAAAGGGGTGATTGTTTATTGTTTGGGTATCTTTGGGTGAATGGATGTCAACTTGGGAAGGAGGACATTTTAGGACATGCACGTGGGCCTGGCAGACCTCTTTCAACATTCAAGCAATCAGGTGCCCGTTTCACTCGGGCGCATGACTCTTCAGGTGTTCGGCAGCTGTTAGGTTTTCGGATTATTCCACTGATTTCAGAGCGAGAAGAATGTGCTTTCACCTGTGGTTTCGATAGCGGCTATTGGATTTTGCCTTATGACATTATTGGCCATGCACTACGCCGACTGATAAGTTCAAACACACGAACCTGAGAGATACAGCCTCACAGAGATTAACTATTGCAATGCTAGGCTGTTCAACAGAAAGGAGAGTGAGTGAGTAAGTAAGTAAGTCAGTCAGTAAGTGAGAGAGAGACAACTGAGTCACAGCTTGAGAGACACTTTGCTGAGCCGCTCGGATCGTGCGGATTCATTCATTCATCGAACCATTAGGCGATTCATCGCAGTGGTCAGAGGGTTTGCCATGGATAGATGTCAGGGTCATTCAACTAAAAAAGAGAAATGCTAAAACACGTGTTCAAACAATAAGACCTTTGGTTCTGATGCACAAAAAAAAACAGGCTCATGGACTCATGGCCTACTTGCTACCTGCTCGCTAGCACCCATTCCAGCTGCATTTCAGCGAAGCATTGAGCCCGCCGACCAGAGAAAAAGCATTGTATAAAGCTGAAGCTGTTCAAGAAATTCCGAGACATTCACTGCAAGTAGCCGTACCAAGCAAAAAAACTGTTGACAATCTGAAACGCTGAAACGAAACTGAACCATATTCGACAAGATTGAAACACCAGCGACAACTAGCTCGAACTTTTTGTATGCACAGCTTGAAGGTGTCATAAAGTGGTTTCAGGCAGAAGAGGGACCCCACCAGTTGCGAGTTGATCACCCAGCAATCTTAGCACTCCCTCAACTCTGCACAGTAGTCTGTCAGCCTAAAGTCATTCTAGGCCGAAAGCATACTTGCTGTACCTCGAGCATCATCTTCTGTCCCCCTTGGCACAAATCAAAAACGCAGTCCATAAAGGCCTGCTTGCGTGTTGGAACGAAAGCAGTCAAACAATCCAGAAACCACAAAGACCTACTAAAACTTCTTGCCTTCAACATCCTTTAACCTGTCATTTCGCAGCTTAAACAATCTGAACCTACTAGCTCGACGAAGCTTAGCACACCAGCCTCTGAGTCAGAGTTCAAATGCTTGGCACAAAGCTTGGAAGCCTCAATCTCCTTTGCTTTCGAACATTAAATATAAGGCAACGAAGGAAACTCCCAGTTGGTCATCTTTCTGCAAGTAACTAGCCGCAGTTGCACTGGCCGCCTTCTCTTCCTCCCTGGCCGCCCAAATCCTCCCTGTCACGGTTCCGAGTGTCGGTTACACATTGGACGTTGGTGATCGGTTCGACTCGTTGCCAGTCATCATGCCTGATCATGCTAGCAAAAGCGCTAGCCATGCAAAAACCCCGGCCTCAAACTCCTTGTCCCACCCTCACCTTCATCTTCTGGTTTTGAGGATAAGAACTATAAGAACTGGGGTTGGTCCGATTGAGAAACTCCCAGCTCACCATGCACACAAGAGCAATGTCACTCTTGTTGAACATCTCTGTCCGCTTGAAGTCCAAATGATCTCCCTTGCAATGTGTGAAGAGCCTTGCCATTTTCATGCCATCCTGTGTCTTCACATCTTTCTTCGTGCATCTCAGTCCCCTCCAAGAGATAGTCCTTTGGGATGTTCTTCACATCTTTCACATCAATGCTTGTGACATTGGATTCCAAGAGTCGTTTGTTTTGGGTGTTCGTCCGGTACCGGGTTCTGACCTATAATCACATTGGTGCATCATGATCATCATGTAAGATCATCATGTAATAATGCCAAACGGAAGCAGATAACTGCAAATATAGGCATCCCAAAAGGACTCCTTAGACAGCAACACGGAACTAACGTCATAGAAGCACATACTTAGAACTGATGGAACATCCAACAAAACCAGTAACACAAACACCATTATACTCTGCCAGTATAAATTATAAAACAAACCAATGCCTTCGTGATTCTGCATCATGATCTTTTCCCGTGGACCGTGCACCTCCTCGTAGATGTTTTGACTGAGAAAATTGTCAGAGGGTGGTCCTCGCTGCAAGTGCGTGGGACACGTTTCATGGGTCAGGTGATGAGCGAGCTAGAGCGAGATGAGTTGGTTACATATCCTGTCAGAACATATGAGTACCCTGGTTTGCTTTAAGGTGATGTTGTTTCTTTGGCCTTCCTAAATTTAAGGACCTTTTTGGGAATTATTTTACATGGGCCCATAAGGTTTCTGAAGCAAATCCAAGGTATATCTACGACTTGGAACTTGCAGAAGGCATGGCTACGCGTGCGAGCCGATTAGATTGGGAGCTTCGAACAGAGCAGCTAAGATGCGTCGTGGTGCCAAATCACTGGGGCCTTTTGATCTGAAGACGTACATGATGAAGTTGCAAAGTTCCTGAGGTTCTGCCTGCAGGCAGTCAACAAGAAAGTTTTAGGGGATTGTGGTTGTTGTTTTTTGCCCTTACCAAGAGTGCGTTTTGGGTACCCTTTGAGTTTCAGAAGCAGCGGCTAAAAGTATCCAGCTTGTGGAGAGCAGTGATGTGGGGAGGGGATGATAGGAACTCAGGGCTCAGCAATTTTTAGCAGTTTTGCATGGTGTATATCATGCTTTACCATTTTACCATGTTTTCCATGTTTTACCAGGTTTTGTTTGCCAATATTTTACCATGTTATGACATGTTTTGGCTTGCTTGTTTTGCAACGTGTTTAACATGTTTTCTTGACATGTTTTACAGAACGTTTACATGTTCTTCCAGGTGTTTGCCAATGTTTTTGCTGTTCTGAACACATCTTGGTGTTGGTCAAAGCTCCATGACCCGATTCATTCACAGCTTCGTTGGTTACAGGTGGATGAAAGTGAAGCGCGAGCCGTGGGTCGACCGAGCAGGCGCGTCCCGCCCGACGGTCCGAGACCCAAATACGGTCTGCGACGACAGGGTGCAAGTGGGAGTCCTCGGAGACAGGCCATGTAAATGCCAATCCAGCACCCCTTCCGCACGTCCAGGACAGATACCACTACGTGCACGTCCAGGTGTCATTGACCAGGTCACAGCAAAGTGGGGAACCCGCAATTCCGCAATTCCGAGCTGAAAATGTGGGCCCCCCCAACTGGGTTGGTCTCCTTCCAAACCACCGCACCTTCGCTCGTGCATCGCTCGTCGCTGCTCAACCCTTTCCAGCTGGCTCCGTCTCCCCCGTTGGATGGGCATCGCTGCTCGACGCTGGCGTCATTGACCGTCATCGCACGCTGGCGCTCGTCATGGTTTGCCTGGGGCGCTTCATGGGCGGCAAAAGCAAGGTCTTGCCAGAGACATGGATGACCTGGGATGGTTGAAGCAAGGGACAATTAAGCTATGATAAGCTACAGCTATAGTTTGTTTTTGTGTGTCATTACTGGTCCACTATGGAGAGACAAGCTGTGATAGCTGTGTCCCTACAGGTCACCGACCTCATTTTACTGGAGTTGCTCATACAAAAACACTACTCACCGAGGTAAAAGACCAGGTTTTGCTGGGTCAGACTGGACTTGTATGTTTTCTTCCAAGCACTGGACATCGGAGGGGAGGAAAGCAGGTGATTGGTTTTTTTTTTTTTTTTAAGATTGTTTAGTGATGTTTTGTGATGCTTTTATTGGCATTCTGTGGATGTTGGTTTTCCAGTGTCCGTGGAGACTACATCCAAGGAGACCACTTACAGGGTGAAGCTGCACTGTCCGGAGGAGCCAGTGTCGGAGCCGTGTCATTCCCCCACTGACTTGTGCTTAGTAAGGGTGGCTGGATCCAAAGGAATCTCTATTGGGAGCGAAACTTCCCTTATTCCTACCAAGCACCATTCAGCCAAAGGAAGTTTTGTTTAGATGCGCCTTCTGTCAAAGTGAATCCAATTAAGTCACTAAAGTGCCAATTTGGAGTTCAGTTATTTGTTCATTTGCTCATGTTGCGGTGCACCTGTGGTTGATGTTTTGATGCTTGCGCGAGAGGGTCTGTCCTTTGTAACAGTCAGTAAACACTTACCACTGTTTTCTGTCACAAAGGCCTGCAACTTAACCATCATCATCCAAGGTCACAAGGACAGACCATCACAAGGATAGACCCAAGCTTAACTTGGATGATGGTTAACAAGAATAGACTGCAACTTAACCATCACAAGGACTAGGATAGACCCTATGCCGTCACGCCCTGCACGTCAGTTCGATGCTGCACGATGCTCCGAGGGGGTCATCCGTGCGGGTACGGAGCCATGCGAAGGTCCGGGCCAACACAAAACCCACACAGGCCGAAGTCTTTGTTCACCAGCAATCTTCCACAAATCAAAGAATTAAGGTTCATGTTCATGTTCATTCACCAAATCTTATGGGTGTCACTTCACAGCCGCAGAGCTCAAGAAGACGCTGCAGCTGGCCCTCCTCGGCTGAGATTCAGATCACCTGACCAACCTGAAGATGTTCACGGACAGTGCACCTCACTGACTCGGAGATCAGTCCAAAAAGCACGAGGATTTCTTCCCCAAACTCCACGGTTCTTCCACCACCGAGCACGCGGTGGACGCTTCTTCTCCCGCGCTGAACCGCCCGAGAGCTGCCGCTCCCACGGTTTCGGCGTCACGCCGCCGCGTCGCTCCGGAGCTCATGGGGGAGGCCCCACCGCCAGGGCCAGCCCATTGGCATCTTCATGGCCGGACACCCCCAGGTCGAAGGCGAGAAGAGGGGGGAAGCACGGCGTGGCTACTGTAGGCGAAGAATGGATGGGTGCGGGTAATCCGGGAACATGGCAGCAGCTTTAGCTTCTTGTGCTGGATCGAATTATGGTCCCAACTTCGTTAGTGAAAGCGGAGAAGTTGAAGGGTACTTATACTTGAACCCACCACACATAAGATCATGTGCTGTTTGATGGATTCTGAGTAATAGGCCTCTACCGTTGGAAGTTGGAAGGCTGGTATTTTGTGTCACTCCTAGATAGATAGAGATGATAGAGGACATCCAAAGTTCTAATCACACATCCGGGAGAACCTATTATCCAGTCCATCGTGGAAGGAAATGCTGCAGGAAGTCCCCTTCAGGTGCCTTCAGGTGCCTTCTAATATGGAAGAGGTAGTAGAAGAGGTATTCTTTTTGGTTGGGTGATGATCCCCAAATGCAGATCCCAAACGTGATGCTCCAGGTGCTCTAAGTCCTGCTCTAAGTCGATACAATCAAGGAGGTTTCTCTACAAACATCTCCAAACTACTTTTGAAGGAAGCACCTTTTCTGGACCCACACGACCTCAAATCGTCGACTTCCGGACGCTTTGTTCATGATGCATCTTCTTCCCCCTGGTCTTGAAGAGGTTCATATCTCTCTTGACTGCTACACATGACTCAGTCAATGAAGTGGTTTTAAGGATTTCAAATAAAAACTATCTGCAGGGTTTCCCCATGGTTTTCACCCCCCAAACAACTTTCCGGGCTTTCCGGGCTTTCTTGTTCCGCTCTGGTTTCGACTCGCCAGGACTGGTCGTGGTGAAGCTGCAGAAGTCGGAAGTGGTGCCTCTCCGAACGCGTGTGGCGGGTAGACCGGAGACCAGTCCGGGGACGAGGGCTCGGTATATGAAGGAGGTGTGTGTGTGTGTGCGTTTTCTTGTTTCCTTTTTTTTTATCAGGCCCCGAAGTTGCATGATAGTTTGATCATCTTTGATAGTAGATGATAGTAGTATACGATGTGTACCACAAGGATGTGATGGATGCTTCCACCCAACAATCTAGTCGACCCAGTGCCGTCCAGCGCCGAGGTCGGGCGCTGGAACGCGCAGAATCCGGAGGTTCCGCTGGACACGCGGCAGTGGAAGTCTTGGAGTCCTTCTCTGCTGTTCTCATCAGGTGTTTGTTTTGTTTTTTCTTCTGGAAAGTCCCTGGAAGGTTTTAGGAAGGATGGAGGGGAAGTCTTGGAGTTGGAGGCCAAAAGCTTCTGTCCGGGCTACGAGCCAGGTTTTTACTGTATATTGTATATGTTTAATATATTATATGTTTTATGTATATTGTATACACAGCTGTTTGCATTTGTTTGCCATCTACTGACTTCGGCTTCTCTCCTCAAGGCAAGTGTTTCTGTTTGTCCTTTTTGGGCTTGAGGCACTAGTTACACGAGTTGCTTCAGACCACTCTTCAGACCATCTCAGCGTTTGCAGGCCCCTACCCTCCTCTCTACCCTGCCCAATTCCTGAGGAAGTGGGGCATGTGATTCTGGAGATCAATGGCCTCACCGACAGTGAGAAGATGTTGGAGCAATTTGCGCCCGGACGGTCACTCGGCAGGTTCGAAACCACAGAGGTCCGGGTCATGCAGCCATCCAATGGTGAGGGTGAGCACAGCCAGTGTTGCTCTACAAAAGCCTTGAAGTACACTCCCTGAAACAATCATGGAAGTGGAACGTAGGCCCCTGGAAGACCAAGTGTCCTTTACAAAGGGGGGGGTCGGCGCAGCTTCCATGATTGTTTGAGGGAGGGTATCGGGAAATTCTCTCAGAGAAAGTGGGATTCTCATGCATCAGCTGGTGGAGCAGCTGGTGCAAGTTGTTGTTCAATGCTGTTGTTTATCATCGTTTATCACTGTGGAGTCATTTCAGACACTAATATATCTCAGAATAGCCCAGCTCTTGTATTGCGTTGTATTGCATCCAAGTTGTGCAAAATTGACTCCCTGTCCAAAACATTCACATCCTCGGCGCCTATATGTTTCATGCACTTAACCCCGGAAAAAAAGGAACAAATAAAGAACTATCCGGTGCTCCCTCCAAACCACCCCAACTCCCCAACACGCCCCAACAGCGCCATTTTTTTTTGGCACTGACAAAAACACCATCCGTGTGGCCGTCGGGCACCGTGACTCTCGGTGTGTGCACCACGGACACCACCAGGACGGTGGACATCCTGGTGAACGTCGTGATGAATGCGCCCGCTGGCGAAAACCACCACCCGCAGCGGCCGTCGGTCCGTCGGTGGGTGAGTGTTTTCGGATGTTCCACAGACCAAAGACCCCAGAAAATCAGATAGGAAGCAACGACTACGGAATTATGCTGTTAAACATTTCGTTGGAGCTCATGATAGGGTCACGAGACGTCGCGAGTGGAGTGCTTCCGGAGCGCGGAGTGCGTGCTACTCCGTGCAGATTGCTCTGCTATAGGTGTGCAGTCAACGAACGAATCAGAGACTAGATGGCTATATTACAGTAAATACGATTGTAATCTATATTGTATATTAAATATTTGGATCTCAGAAAAAGGCAACCGCGAATCGGCAGACGACTGGTCACCTGAAGTCTGAGACATCTCGAGTAGGTGCACATTCAAGTTGACCCTCGACAACTAGGCGCGAAACGGTCTACACAGACAACAAGTTCATGCAGCGACCAGACGGTCGCCCCAGGCAGCACAACCGGATCCTGTCGCATTGCTTGCGCAAGCAACGCCTCGCTGCCGCGGTCGAGACGCTCCTCCATCCTGTGGACAACTCCTCCGAGAACGACGACGACGCGGTCGAGACCTCTGGGCCACCGGTGTGCGCCATTTGTCAGGAAGACATGAAGGTGAAGACATGCTGCAAGAAATCAGCTGCTTGGCCAACTGGTTGACAACATGGTCTCGAAACAAATAGGAGTCTGCCCTTTCTATCCCTAGTTGGTATGAGGAGAAAATCCACCCCCATTGAGCCAGCTGGGTGACCAATACGCGACCTTCTTAAGCAGCAGCTTAGATTTCTTGGCTTTGGACTTCACAGTCTGGCTGTCAGCAACAGATCTTGGCCAATCCTCAAAACAATCTTGGCCAACTGAGATGGGCCAACTGCTTGGTTTTTTCAGGGGCCTAGACTTGGCAGATACAGGGTCCTTACAGGTGAATTTGGGAACATGCTGCCTTTTGCGACCCCGCTTGGGTCTTGTGAAAGGGTTTCGCGCGGACTGGGGCTGGGGGATAGAGCACTGTACTGTGGATCATTGTGGATCCACAAGGGATTGCACAAATTCTTGCACCTGTGCATTTGGAGCAAGGCGGAACCTCTTGATGAAATGGTCGTGGACTGTTCTGTTGGCTGACACTTGCTGTGAGACTCTACGAAAAAAAAGCCGAGTTCGGTAGACACATGTGAGCACGATCTGCTGTTCTTCGATTCAGAGTGAGGGTTCGCGCCCTCTGTTTGGTCCAACGCTGAAGGAAGTGGTCTCGCTTGAGTGCAAACATCGATTTCACTGCCAGTGTGTGAAGCAGTGGCTTGCTCCTTGGCCACTGAGAGATCCGCTGGGAGAGATGCGGGTCGCATTGTGCAGTGGGCGGGCCGCGCGGGTCGCAAGGGCCAGGGGTCGCAGGGGCCGAACTGAAGGGTTTCCAGTCCCGAGAGTGTGGATGGAAGTCTGGTTTCGTTGTTCCGTCCAACACGAGTCATGTTGCGCAAGCGAAAAGCAGAACTGGGACTCTCTCTCTCTCTCTCTGTGGAATTTCTTGGGTCTTCACAATGTTCTTGAACTATGGTTTCAACCCTTGATTGATGTGGCCCGCTGTGATGCTACCCCCACGCAGATGCATTTGCTTCCATCAGAGGCAAACGGAAGGGTAGTGCACAGAAAGGGTTTTGCAAAACCTGTTCTACTAACATCGTGGAAGGCGCAGGACATTCGTAGAACCCAAGGCTATTCGTGGACAGTTCGTGGAATGGTGGGCCAGTAGGAGAACTGACTGCAACGAAATCCCAGAAACCTTCGCAGAACTTCGTGGAAGGTATTTTTGATGCACTAACTTCGTCTAAGCGATTTTTGCTGACCCCCTTTCTCCACACACCCTCCATTTAGCCTTCATTGCAATTTGCTCGCGAGTCACACATATTGAGGTCCCAACTAGATACAGACTTAGATAGAAACAAGTTGCAATCCATTTTTAGACGGGGGTGCCGGGGGTCACTCTTCGATCTATTGCAGAGTCCATACTTTCTGAAACCCAGCGTATTGTGGTTTCCACAACAGCTGAAGCTGTTCCTTCCGGTTTTCACAGACATCAAACACTAGTAACAAGTGCCTTACTAGTAGTAACAAGAAGCTATTAGGAACAAGTGCCACGCTAGTAGTAACAAGTGCCTTACTAATTCCACAGACCCACGTTCGACCCTCGACCGATCCGGCTCACCGACCGATCCGCCGGTTCGATCCGTTTAGAAACCGACCTGCACGACGTGCGACAGCCACCTGCGCGTTTTTTCCAGGTGAACGGCCAGCTGCGCTGTCCTTTGTGCAACCATCAGCTGCAGTTGCGAACGGACACCGACTAGCAGTGCCCCACCAGTGGGACGAGGCCCGGGCTGAAGGATAGGACGCCAGCCAAGCCGGGCCAGCCGCCAAAAGGGTTGAAAAGGGCAAAGACAGATCATATGGCGAACAAATACACTATAGCAAGTATACATGCTAGTAGCCTTTGGCATGCCTTTGGCATGCCTTTGGCATGCCTTTGGCATATCCGGAGGTATGAAGATGCATGAAAGTATGATGTTCTTCTGCATGTGGTGTCGAACACACCCCAACTGCACCACAGACTCGAGATTTGCAGACATCGCTGAGGCGACATCTTGGTCTATGGCCCCGCTCGGGGGTGCCACACGCGCCCGCGTGCGTGAATCGTGGTTGTATAGCCGATGGACGGCTGGAACATGGGTTCCTCCCTACCCATCTTGCTTTGTTTGGTTGGAGGATGTATTTGTTGCATTTTCCTAGTTGTTCCTTGCACCTAGGCGCAAGCCAAGACTCCACGTCAGCTTAACCAAGTCACTGGCCCAAGACTAAGCCGTGCTCATAGGAGGATGCACCAACCATACTTGATTGAGGGTGGCAGTCCAAATCGGCAGCCTGGAACTGCTAGCAAAGAGTTGTTTGACATGTTCATCGAGCTTGCAGGGTGCTTGCGTTCAGAAATTTGTATAGAGAAGAGGTGCAGCCGTGATTGGAGCACTTTCTCCACTCGATATTTGGCTTAGTGCCTATATCGAAAGTTTTCAGAAGCTCTGTAGTGGGTGGTGACAAGGGTCACACACCGGCCATTGCTCTCAGAGAAGCATATTGCCAACGCCCATGTCGATGTTTCTGTCGAAGCGGCTCTATCAGTTCGAGCTTGCAAAAAAGTGAGTCCAAAAACCGCAGAGATGAACACGATCACATGAGATCCCTTTTTGATGGAGCCACTCCCCAAAGGAGGGACATGCGAGGACCCAATGTAGCGCTGTCAAAGAGACAGCCATAATTGCCATAATTGTTATCAGACTATTATTTTCATCGTTTTGATGCATGTTTGCAGTGGAACCAAAGGCTTCACACCCCACACTGCTCACTGCTCTGAAATGTTTCATTCATGTGCCATGCACTTCTTTAGCTGGCTCAACCGATGCCGAATGTTGCCCTGAACCCTGTGCTGGAAGAAACATGTCTGATTCAATCAGTGCCTTCCAAGAGTTTGTGGCCTTCATCGCATCTGCACCCCCACCCTCAGCTCCGTCGCTTCACCGTCTGCTGCGCAGCCAGCTCCGCAGGGCCACGGCCGCGACGGTGCGGAGGTGCGGATCGGCGGTGTTTGGATCCGACTCATCGGATGGGAACCATCGGATGGTCAGGAGGACACAGTATGCCAGTAAACACAGTAAACAGTGTCACCCAACAGTGTAAGGGTTCATGTGTCATTGAAGGGTCTAGGGTATACTGTAAGGTCACTGTGTTGTGGTATGGGTTCCCAATAAGATGCCAGGATGCCTTTCATGTGCAAACGTTTGGCAGATATCTTTGGCCCGTCCTCGCAAGGCCGCAAACCGAACGCATGTTTGTTGATTTGGATTCTTGGCACGTGGTTGATCTGGATTCTTGATTTGCCTCGCTCGTTGATCCAGTTGTTGCAACCTAAATCAAATATATGCTGAAAAAGAGTATCAGCTGAGAAAAGACGCTGACAGAATCAGTGAGCAAGGGCATTCCAGAATCCGGTTTTTGCGCAGGAATGAGAAACCGACAACTTCGGAGGGGCAAACGCATGACCATCCGCATCCCCAAAAGGCTGTGTATTTCTAGGGAGACCTCCCAGGGAGAACACCCCGGAAGAAGGAAGATAGATCAAAAACCATTGGTTGGGTGTCTCCTTTATTAAACAAACACACACTTACTCTTAAATGCTTTGTGTCCAAGTTGGGTATGGCCTTCAAGGTATGACACGATCAACCGGGAGGGAGCCTTTATTGGTTGACCATCAGATTAATGATCATCCCCTTCACATATTGAGGAAGAGGGATGAACAGTGGCTCACCAGATTGGCGACCATCACAAGAATAAGATAAAGAAGACAACGGGACAACAGAAAAGGAACAACATCGGTTTTTGTGGAAAAGAATGCATCATGCTGCTTCGTTCGTAATGTTTTTGGACAGAAACCCGCACCACTGAGCATCTCCTCAATCTCCCTCAAGTGCAAAGAAACCAATCCATTTGCTTCCGGTATTTAGAGTTCAGTCTGCTTCGTAGTCTTCTTCTTTGGCACAGCGACCTTTGAGATGAATCCCCTCGGGGTTGGACCTGGCGCGGCGTTCGCACGCTGCGACCGAGGAGGGACGTCCACGAGACCGACGAGACCGACGTGCCGCGCGGTTCGGACCCGCGTGGCTGAGCGAAAAAGGTCGCCGGTTCCGGGAGCGGTTTCATGTGCGAAAAAGGGACCCATCAACGTGAGAACATCGCGGTTTCAGTCTCATGGATGGGAAGAAAAAAGGGAATCCCACAAGATGGCGTACACCAAGCTTCTTGTAATGGGTGTTTTTTTGAGGCTACAACCACCACAAATACGGTTGGGAGTTTTGTCACTCGTCCAGGAGATGGCAGGTGTTTTTGCAAGTTCATGCGATCTGGTGGCATGGCGAGGGAGGGCTTTTGATGGAGAACAACTCATTTGTACTGTAGATTTTCTGAGGATGCTCATTGCAGATGATCATCACGGAGTGCTATACTACCCCCTGCTCGACTACCCCCACCCTGACTATTATAGATGCATCTATTAAGAAATGCCTTAACCATATTGGTTCTTTCACTGGTCACTTGAAATTTTGCAGTTTGTAGAGTCAGGAAGAATATTTTCAGGTCCTTGACAGGTCGCTTTCAATTTCAGCCTTCACGGTGTGGCATAGCATCCACGACCAGAACACTAGTTCGTAGAGAACAATGACTACCTGTTGGCCCGCGCATGCTTTGTCTCAAGGTCATAAATCTTAAGAGCAAAGCAAGGAGCCCAATATTCCCAAGGGTTGCAGAGCAGCAAGTCCGAAGCAGCCTACAGCCAAGAGCTTTGATCATGGAACACAATCGAACACAATGAGAATCAGCAAATCAGCAAGCACAATTGACAGGACTCTTCTCCAACTTGTTTTGATCGACTAAAGTGCTGAAAGCAAGTATCAAGAAAGCAGAGCTGCAATGCCTGTGGGTGTGGGCAGTGCTACTGCCAAGTGACAGTGAAAGCTTTTTTGAACCATTTCAGCTGAAAGCGCACCGAAAACGACTTCACGGCAGCCCGAAGCTGCCCAGCACTGCCCGAAAAAGCGCACCGAACACCGCCGGTTTCGGGGGGTGGACACCCGTTCCACTGCGGATGGCGCTGTTCCTGGGCTTCGACAGTTCCACACAGAGCTTAAAGGCCACGGCCATTCGCGCAGAGGACCTTCAGGTGGGCGAACAGAGGACCTTCAGAGTCAAAGCCTTGTTTTAGTGTGGCCTAGATTTTGATAAAGATGTTTCAAAGCTTTCCTTGCCCAATGCTTTGGACAGTTGTTTGGTACGCTATGTTACGCTACCCTGTTGTTTACTGTAGCTGGATCTTCCTGCCAGTGCCTTCCAGTGGCAGGTCTTCAAGAGATATGTCATCAACTTCGATCAGGACTTGCCGTGGTGTGGCACAAAACTCGTTTTGTTGAGGCCGTTGAATTGTCATCGGAAGCTCACTTTCATTGTGGTTCAACCAAGTTTTTGATTACGGGGACTTCTTCATCCAGTAAATTGCTGAAAATGCATTGTTTTTATCATTACAGTACTTCCTGCATCATGAACATCTGATCAACGCGCACAAGAAGAATGAGTGGTTTAACATGTTCAACATGTCGCCCTTGACGGGTCATCCTTCTTCAGTACGCGATTTGTATGTCCCGGCCTCTTCACGATCTGAGGCACTTTAAAACCTCTGGCGGCATGTCTGCTTCGAGCACCAGCAGCCGCAAAACTTCGCCTGTCCTGATGTGGGTCGAGGTCGGACGGTCGCGGTGGTGTGGTGAGAAGATGCTGGACAGGTTGGAGAGGGGAGAAGATGCTGGACTGAGACTAGAATCTGAAAGGGCTCTCATGAGAAGTACAGTGCGAGGTCAGAAGTAATGCCAAAAATAATGCAGAAATACTTGCACCAAAGATGAACGAACCCTTTATTGACTTTCCAAGACACGCAATGGATGTAGCTAAAATGGAAACAAGAGGAAACTAACCCTCAGAGTTTACTCATTGTTTAGTCTATTAAAGTCTATTCATGCATTGCCAGTGAGTTTGGATGGCTACCCGCAAAAGATGTTCCAGAGTTGGCAAGGAAGTCTCTTGAGATTCACTGTTGTGAAGCCGTTGTGAAGCCATTTCCACCGATTCTTGATTTCAAAACCTTCAACAACCGCCAATGTCTCTTTTCTTGGCGAATCGGCGCCAGAAACGTGGAGCGCCCAGTCGGCGGCTTTTCTGTTTTCCGTCGTCTATCTCGCAAGGCCTTGGACATGATCTTGACACAGATGAAAGCGGACCAGTTTCCCTTCCACGAGGTGCGGACCCACGCTCTCCGGTGATGTGCTCCGATGAGGTCCAATGAGTATGCTTGCTTGGGCACCTGAAAAAGGAACAACGCTTCTGTTTGCCTGGTCCTTTTCATAAAACAGGGGTTTGAGCCCAGAGTTTAGTCTATATTACGGCATATTACGGCAAGTTTCTCACATGTCAATTCGGAGCACAACTCCACCTAAACTATCTATCTGCTACCGCTGCTACCACCGGATCCCAACGCACGCCATTTGCAAGTGCCCTCTTCCCAGTTGTACTCAGGTGCTGGCCATTTCAGGGAGTGGGCAGCAACATGGGCCGCAGACTCAGCAGCGGCCATGATTTGGCACATTGGGAGAGGCCCGGAGGTTTGGCCTCAAGTGGTGATCGAACAGGCTTGTGGTGGTGTCCCATGGTGTCTCTATGAATGTATATAATTTAATTATATATATATAATAGTATAATATATTGTTATTCTGACTATTCTGTGATCATGATTGGCTTTTTTTGGATGAGTATTGCACGGCTTAGTCCCCTAATAAGGACGTCCAGTCATTTGGAATGCTCCCCGTGCCGGACCACGTTCCAATTGAGACCCGATCGTGACTCTTGGGCTCGTGTAATAACCCTGTGCTCAGCGGTTTAGTATTAACACGGGGTATTGCAAAAGACACGGGGTTTTTACACTACCCCACTTGGCCTTTTCTTCAACCAACCCGGATTCCACCGCATGGCTTCTCGCCTTTTTCGCATCTCCGCATCCACATCCAGGTCGGTCTACTGGGCGGCGAATGCTGGACGTTTGCTGGGAGAACTGGACCCGGTAGCGACCTTGGGACGGGCCGACGGGTGGCGAGACTGGGCTGACGGGTGGGCTGACTGGGCCTCCAGAACAACGAATGGCGAGACGTGAAGATTGTGAAGAGATGTGAAGAATGGACTCCATTGCACTTCCCCAGCTAGCTGTGGATGTCCTCACCGTGGGCCTGCGTGGAAAGAGAAAAACCAGGGGGCAGGCACTCGTCGTGTGCGTTTTCATTTGCTTCTTTGGTAATAGCATGTAACAATGTAGGGACAAGTTCACTCGATCGTCGACTTGATGAGTCTCATAGATTGATTTCTGGTCGGAGTTGGTCCATTAAGCAGTAGGTAGATTGCAAGAAGAATATGGATCATGCTGAAGTCGGAATATTTTGATAGCCCGCCGAAGCAGGCAACAAAACTTCCAGAGGTTGAACTTGCACGCCCGCCAAAGGATGCCAAAGGTCAAACTGAGAAAAGGACAGTGTAAGATGATGCGCACGGTGCACTTCTCCAAACCTAACCCACCTATACCCAACTTAAGAAAGGAAGCCGCGAACGAACCTTTTCCCATCAAGCTTGTGAAGAAGCCCACAAAATTTGTATATATTCGATGGAGCACTCCAATCCCAATCTCCACGATCACACCATATCACACCCAATGACATTGAAACATCATGAAACAATATATTGAAAATAACATTTAAGAGGCCTCACATGAAAACATGTGCAAATCGACATCACATATTCCAGAAAAAACGAATTCCTTCCATTCGAAGCCGCGTTTTGCCGGACTCTGGGCCGAAGCCGCAGCTCGGTCACACCTTCAGGCGAAGGCGTTGGCGCCGCAGTTGGCCACGGCCTTTGCGCGCCACTGGTACCGAAGGTACTTCCGTGTCGGATGCAAAGGAGAGCCCTGCAAATCGCCATGAGATTTGGGTGATGGCAACAAAGTCTCATGGCGCCAATGACATAATGCAATGACCCAACATCTCTTTTGGGTGCCTTCTAGGGGCGTAAGGCTAAGCTGGTCGGATTGGGACTCTTGAATTCAGATGAATTCAAAGCATAATCTGAATATCATACTAACATCAACCATTTCGCTGTTCATACACATTGAGTTGCTGACGTTTTGTGCTCCCAGGCTCTGAGTCCCCCATTTGGGCCGACTCCTCCACAGGCGACCGACCGGTGTTGGGCTCGGTGGACGGACCGTTGGAACCGTTGGAACCGTCGCTGGGTAGAGGGTACCGAGGGGGGTTGGAGGAGGGGGGAGGTAAACCTCCGCAATGGCCGAGCAAAACGAAGGAAGATGGCCTCCAACCTACTAACTGTCGATGGCCTCCACCTGAAGGGCGATGGCCGAAAAACCCTCATAGCAACATGTGTCCTGTCCCAAAGCAGCTGAGGGTTGTGGGTGGTTGTGGGTGGTTTTCTAGTAGTGCATAGTAGTGCTTATACTTTGCTGAAGATAATGTTTTCAACATGTTTCAATAATATATGATATGATATATATGCATTAATGATGTGTCGTGGGAAAGCATGACTTTTCGGAGAAGTCCTACTGCCGGTTTTCTGATTGTTTCTTGCTTGATCGGGGTCTCTTTTGTTCAACCTCCCTTCATGTCCGTTTTCTGACATGACCAGGCTGACCAGGTGCTTTTCGCCTCCCAAGCTCGCAGGCGCGCAATGCCTGCGCGTGGAGAAGGCCGTGGGCCGCGAGCGCCTGGCGAAGGCGCGGGAACCCGGCGGTGGTGCGCGGGAGTTGCGGCTGGGGAGCGGTTTGGCCAGCGACGCATACGTAAACTCTTGAATGTAGAAGCCGTAGGTGCGCGACATAGGAGGAGGAACAATCATTCGGAACGACGGTTGTGGTGAGAACGTGCTGGGTGACGACCAAAAAACATATTGATGACAGATGATGACAGATGCAAAAGAGGTGTGTGTTGATAGTTCAATCATGTTCATCCAGTCGTCCATGTATAACCTTATAACCTGTCTTCTTCGCGCTCACAGGGTTTGCCCAGTCAGATGAGGAAACAACATCCTTTCTTCAGAAAAAACCTCATCGAAAACCTCATCGACCCTGCACCAGGCGACGGGAGCCCGTGCCTATGAGCGTTTCACTGGGATGCAGATCGCCAAGATCATTGAGGAAGAGTCGCCTGGAGAGAAGACGATCGACCCATCGGTGAACACGTTTGGGGGTTCAGAGATTCGACTGGGATGGAAAACCAACACGTTTGGGATTCGACCGGAAGAGTCAGGAGATGTTTGGACTGTTGTGCAGGCAGGCTATCAAGAGTACCCTTGAATTTTTCATCAGCTTTGAAGAGTTCAGGACAATCGGCTCCCATTCAGGACAATCGTGGCTTTTTTGAAATCCCGGTCATTGCTCCGTTCGTAGCGATGCCAGGAGCCCCTAGTAGCTTCTTGTTACTAGTAGTAAGGCCAGGAGCCCCTAGTAACCCTAGTAGCGTCCTTGCTCCCATTAGATTACAAGAACATCCAAAAATTCAGCAGACTTGCAGCCCTTTTGGCCAAACTGAACTGAGGCCCTCTGTCTATGAGGCCTGCGAGCGGATCTCCTTGGCTTCTCGTTGGACGGGGTGATGACGGGGATGTCGTGGCACAAAGACATCTGAAGCTGTCCTGGGACGATGCTCGGACACCAGAAACTTCAAGAACACGGTGAAATGATTGCCCAAGCATGCCAGGCAGCCGCGTCACGGGTATCAGGGCTTGACTCTCGAGGGAAGAGGTTCTAGGTCTGCAGCAATTGCAACAAGGCGGACCAAATGATCTACTGGAGAGTCACCCAAAAACACCTAAGAAAAGGGTCGGTCGCTTCGCCCACCGCATGAAACGCACCAGGTTTCCCGCATCCCGAAACGCACCCGTATACGGCACCCGAGTAAGGCACCGAGTAAGGCACCGGTGCCGTCTTCAGGTCTCCTCGGCGATGTGCTCCATTCTGCTGGGCGCGTACGCGCCGGTTGACACCTCGGACGGCTCGGGGACGAACCTCAACCGGCTGCAGGACGCGGTGTCAACCGGACGAAGAAAAGGACACTTTGTGCGGGCGGTGTGCGGGTTGAAGCTTGGGTTCGGGTTCGGGTTGAGGAGGGGAGAACAGTGGGGGGGGAGACAATTTGGAATGAGAAAGAATGGTGGATTGGAGCCTGACCTGATTTTGTCCTGGGCAACTTGTCTCATGGCCACCTGGTGCCCCACAAGACTCTTGCAGAGGTCAAGACAGCCTGGGGAGTGGCCAGAGTTCCCCAGCAAGATCCTTCGCCGGAAGGCCCTGGCGAGTCCATTAAAGTGGCCTCCGCATTGTCAGACAAGTCTTTGCAAATCCAACCATCCATCCCCTGTTTCAACTGAAGAGTGGTGGATTCTAGCAGTAGAGTCGATTTCTTTCTTGCGACCTTGTTGATGTTGTTCTTACATGTTCTTGCTTTGCCAATCTTTTGAGACCTTTCAGAAAGTCCATAGTGATGTGTCAGAAGCCATCAGAAACACTGTGTTCGGATATGTTCGGACAATGATATATAATGTTGTTTTTAACATCTGACTCTTTGTCAGAAAAAAAAGTCCATCAGAACAGCATATCTTTTGTGTGTCTGTTTTCTTTTTCCTAGGTTGGGGTTGGAGGCCATCGCTATTAGGTTGGAGGCCATCGCTACTAGGTTGGAGGCCATTGCGCAGGAGCTCGGTGGCCTCACCTGGTTCGCAGAGGCCCTGGACGCTGTGGCGCGTGACGCGGGCGACCGTGTCGGGGGCCACCGCGCAGGCGCCGGGGGGGTGGCGATACCGGTGGGTTTGGGGGCGCCCAAGGCACTTGAGGAGGTGGTGGAAACGTGGTGGAAACTAACTAGGAAGTTCCTATCAAAGTCCAAACAGATTCTTTATGATTCACCCATGCACTATGCACTAAGCCTGATGCTGTTGTTATTTGGGGGGGTGTTGTCCTCAAAGATCATGGCTTCTCAAGTCCGCGAGGTGGAAGTCTCTCTTTTTGGGAACCCAAATTAGCTGATGGTCAGCCCAAGTGATTTTTTGGGGTTGCAGGCCAGAGTTTGTTATCAAGGATGGGTAGTATGGGGTGCTCATGACAGATGTGGTTTTGTCGTTCAGCTCATCCCTTATGTTTGTGGTTGAGAAGACATGTGGTCTATAGTTGGCTATAGTACCTACTGTTTGCCTGGTGTGATGAAGTGCAAGTTGTATGAGAAGCTGCTCTAAATCTTTGTTTGAAGCATGTTGAAGCCTTCTGGAAAGAGCTAGGAGCTCGGAAGAAACGACGTAAGTGGAGTTGCTCACCAATGCCCACCAGAGCAACTCAAGGAGTTCATTGGTCACAGATGATATTCTAAACTTGGAAAGACACCCTGTCCGCCGGCCAACGGGTGGCCCACCGACCCAGACTTGGGGGATGGGACGGCATTTGCTTGCTGGAATCCACCAGAAACATCAAGAAACTCAGAATCAGATGACTTTCTTTTGATCGTTGTTTTGATGAATCAGTTCCCCACCTGCCAGGTGCATGAGGTTCTCTCGATGTGATTTCGGTGCCAACTCCTCTCCTTCGCTCCCGAGCACACACCATTCCAGGTAGACTGTCAGAATGAAAACATTCTGGGAAGCATGCCAGGTAGAATTTTTGAGCAGATGCCAGATAGAATGGAAGCAAGACTGTCAGTAGATGTCAGGCACAGTGCCAGAAAGAATGTCGGAATAGTAGATGCCAGAAACAATGTCGGTAATAGATGCGAGATAGAGTGCCAGGACGGACGTCAGAATAGATGCGACCGATAGAATGCCAGAAAGAATGTCAGATAGAGTGTCGGAATACTTGCCATTTAGAATGCCGAATCATATGTCAGGATGTGTCGGAACAAGTGGCAGGTTTGATGGCAGAACAAGCGCGGGAATACGGAAAACATGTCAGAACACACATCAGAACCAACGTGGGGCCATATGTCAGAAGTGCATGCCAGAAAAACAAGAACACATGTCAGACTTCACGGCGTCAGAACACATGCCAGAAATTGCCAGAACATTTCCCAGCCTTTATGCTAGATGACATGTCAGAACACATACCAGACTTGATGCTAGAACAAGTGTTGTCAGAACATTGTGTCAATGCACATGTCAGGCAGTGTTTGTCGTGATAGTCTGTCAATACATGTGCCCTGCCTTCTTCCAAACCGCCTCTCATGGTGGGGATCGCCCGAAGCAAAGTAAGTTTTTGGAAGAGATCAACTGGAGACAAAACAGGTCCACCTCCAATGTCTAGAAGCATTAGAAGCAGCCTTCCAGGGAGAAGGTTTCGCTTCCATGCGCTTTCTTTAGGGGAGTGGAGTGGGTCCACACCGTCTGGGTAGAAGCAACACCCACAGCTGTTGAAACATAGACCTCTTTTTGCGTGAGTCCTGCATGAGAAGGCGCTTTGGTGTTGAGGATGATTCCAGGATAATGATCTAACTGCAGCGGCCTGTGATGAGCCGTGGGATTGAGAAGTGATTTGGGCGGCATCCACTTGTCCATTTTGGCGACTCCACATTCTGACTACTGTCCGTTCCCCCGTGTTGCGTGTGGCGACATTGCAGGGAAGGCCGGGTAGGCTCAGATATAGTAAGCTTGTATGGCCACCATGGGAAACAGTAAATTCAGGAATGCCGGTCAACTTTCCATCTTCAACTCACGGGCCAGCAGGTGGAGCACAGGCATGAAGCGGATTACTTCCAATCAGATGATTTTTTTCAGCTTGGCTCTCCGCTGCTTTTGAATGACTGCCTGCTTCGTGATCCTGTAGTACAGGCCGCCATGTTCACAGTTTCCTGTGTGCTCACAAACACACACACACACACACTTGGAAAAGGGCTCGCAGGAGCTGTATCAGTTTCGAAGTTCCAGAAATTAGTTACTGACTACCTAGCACTCTAGTTACTGAATACTTAGCCCATCTTAGCCCTTGACTTGAGGGAACGGCAAGAAATGCTGGGTCCGATCAACAGAAGGTTTCAACAAAAACTGGTTACTGACTACTTAGCGGTTCTTAATTCGGTGCAATAGTTAGGGAGCGGGACTTTAGTCTTAGACCGCCCGGGTAGATTAGACTAGAACAGGAACAACAGAAGGAAAGGCACCGACACACACAAGTGTGTCGAGTACCATTTCGGTGATGGCCATCCACCGCTGGTGAGAGGGATGGCCCCCCTGCTCTGTACATGTATCAAAAAGTTCCTTAGAGACAGGAGTTGACACACTTAGTCACAGGTTCATCCAGTGCCATAGTCCACAAGGAAAGGAATGAGGGAAACGCGAGGCGGTTGAGTCGGCAACAGTACTTGAAATGCTGGCAAAAGTGTTCAAACTCCCTCGCGACAGCGCAACTGCAGCAACTCTGCGGGGGGAGGTTTAGGGGAATAGCGTGAGAACCACCATGACTGGCCTCTGTTTAGTTAGGAGTTAGGAGTATTTTAAAAAAATTGA